AAACGCGTGTGGGCCTTGGGTGCCGAGTCCCACGCCAGCCTTTAGCCTGCTGTGCTCCACCAAGGTGAGCAGTGGATGCCCAGGTTCAAGTTTCAGCCCTCACCTCTCTCTTCTTCTCAGCAGCATGTGGCCATGGACCGTTCCTTCCTCCCGGAACATGTCCTCCTATCTCCGGTTTTCTCCTTTTTGTCCACCTGTCAGCCTTCACTGCTGGTTTCTCCCCCTCTACCTGGCCTCAGATGTCTGGGTGCTTCTGGGCTCATTTTTAGGCTTAAGGAAAAAAATCTTGGGGCGCCTGGGTGGCTTAGTTGGTTGAACGTCTGATTCTTGATTTTGGCTCAGGTCATGATCCCAGGGTCGTGGGATTGAGCCCTGAGTCAGGCTCTGTGCTGAGCAAGGATCCTGGTTGAGATTCTCTCTCTCTCTCCCTCGCCTGCTCCCCTGTTCTCTCTCTCTCTCTCTCTCTCTCTCTCTCTCTCTGTCTCTCAAATAAATAAAATGAAAAAACAAAGAAAAAATGTATCACACTCTCTCTCTAGGAAGCCTAATGCTTGCTGCTGTCTCCAAATCTGTATCTGTAGCTTTGTCCTCTTGTCTGAACCCCAGTCTTAGGTATTAATTTGGCATGTCTGCTGGGAGGTCTAATAAACAGCTAAAACATTTCTGGTCCAAATAGATATTCCCCATACCAAGGCCTGTCTTCCTGCCCCCCTTTTCCAAATCAAGCCAGTCATTCCAGGGTCATAAACCAAGAGCCATGTTTCCCATGAACCCACAGTCAGTCTGTCAGCAAGCCCTTGCTCTCTTACTTTCGAGATGTATCTCAGATCCATTCCGTCCCCCTTCCCACACCTGCTTCGGCATCCCTGCACCCACCCTGGTTCAAGCCACCATCATCTCTTGCCTTCTGATTGGTCTTAGACTTCTGATTAGTCTTCCAGAAAACACTTCTCTTTCCCATAGGCACCAAAGGGAACTTCCGACCACATGGACTAGATTGCACCCCTCCTAAGGCTTCCACTGCAGCAAGGCTAAAACCCAAACTCTCTGCTGTGGTCGACAAGGCCCTCTGCAAGATGGCACCTGCCTGCCTCCATTTTGTCCTCTCTTCACCCACCCATGAGGACCTGTCTAGTCTTGGACAAGCTGTGAGCCCTCACCTACCTCGGGGCCTTAGCAGTAGTGGCTTCCTCGGCCTGGAATGCTCCTCCCCAGGATCTTCAAATGGCATCTCCTGTTTGCAATGCAGATCTCAGTCCAAATATTTTCTGTTGAGAGAGGACTTCCCTGACTACCTTATCTAGTATAGACCCTTTTTCTTGAGTTATTGGCTCACCCTATTTATTTCCATCACAACACTTATTATAATTGGATGCTGAATTGTTTAATATTTGTTTACTTTGTTACTGACTGTCCTCTCTTACTGGATATCAGTGCTATGAGAGTAGGGGCTTGATTTGCCTAGACTACTCCTGGACCCCTCGTCTTAAAAACTAACTTTAGCTCATAGTAGGTGTTCAACAAACACTTGTTAAATAAATGAATACAGAGTTAGACAGGTGAAATTGCCAATATAAGCCTCTGGTGGAAAGATCTGTGCTGGAGATAAAGATTCGGGAATTATTATAAAAAATAAATCTTAATAAGCAAGGTATAGGAGAGAACTTCCTTAATCTGTTTAAAAAAAAATCTACAAAAAAAAAAAATGCAGCATAAGGCTTAAGAGTGAAACACTGAAACAGTCCCTTTAAGAATGAATAAAGACAAGGGTCCCCACCACCACATTTTCTAGACAACTCTGCTGGAGACCCTAGGCAGCATGGTTAGGCAACAAAGAGAAACAGTGTTTCAAAAGAAATAGAAATGACATTATTTGGACACATTCTTTTTGTAGAAAATCAAAATAATCTATAGATAAGTGATTAATTTAGAGTTTAGTGAGGTTTCTAGATTAACATACAAATGTCAGTGGCTTTTTAAAATAATTTTTATAGGGGTACCTGGGTAGCTCAGTCAGTTAAGTGTCTGATTCTTGATTTTGGTTCGGGTCATGATCTCATGAGTTTGAGCCTCGTGTCGGTCTCTGTGCTGACAGTGTGGAGCCTGCTTGGGATTCTCTCTCTCCTTCTCTCTCTCTGCCCCTCCTCTGCTCTCTCTCTCTCTCAGTGAATAAATATTAAAACAAAAAAAAGAAAGAAATAAAATAATTTTTTATATATGAGGAAAATGCAGACTATGTCATTATCCTATGTTTACCTCTATATATAAATGAAAATGTCTCATCACAAAACTCACTGTGAGACTGTGAGCACTGAGTTAAAAAAGAGAATACACAATAGACATAGCAAGGCCTGTTATAATACCTTAAAATACCAGATGTAACAAGAAAGTCCTACAAATATCCAAGAAGAAAAAAAAAATAGGTCACCTAAAATGGAACAAGAATCAACAGCATCACTGAATGCTAGAAGACAATCAATCAATACTTTTGTATTTCTGAAGACAAATAATGATTTTAAACATAAAATTCTATACCCAGCTAAGCTGGCATTAAATTATAGATGTTTAAAACTTTGGCATTTTTGGACATATAAGGACTTGGAAATTTTGCCCTATATATATTCCTCAGAATTATCTGAGAATATGCTCCAGCAAAAGAAAGGAGTAAACAAAAAAGAATTACACTTGAGATCCAGGATGAAGTAGATCGAGCCCAGAAGAGTGGTCAAGGAGAATCCTAGAAGACTTCTATATGGCAGGCATCACTCAATGCAACAAGCCCAGATGAGGGGGGTAATACAGTCTTCCAGAAGGGAGATTTCTAAGAAAAAGGGCTTGATAGAATAAAGTAACAAGGGGTGGGGTAGGGAAGGGAAGGATATTGATTATAATTAAGATAGCACAAGAAAAATAAGCATAATTAGAAACCCTAGGCCACAAAAAGTCCGTGTAAGGAATAAATGTAATTATAGTCCATTATAGTCAATATTCATAAACTCACAACAGTGTAAAAACTATTGATTGATATAACAATCATTGATATAAGAACTGCTCATTGATATAAATTTGATGATTTAATGATATTAGGAGAATAAAGGAATGGAAGATAGCATAAGATAATGAAATCCTCATCAGTTACAGCAAGAATAAATGTATGAGGTCTAGACTGGGTAAGTCCAGAGAAAGCACTAAAGCATATTATTATGATTATCATTAGAGAAAAAGAGAGAGTGGGAAAGAGGGAAACAGAGAGGATCTTAGGGAGGGTCCATGCTCGGCATGGAGTCCGAATTGGGGATCATTCCCTCAACCCTGGGATCATGACCTGAGCTGAAATCAAGAGCTGGCCACTGAAACGACCGAGCCACCCAGGCACCCCTAAAGTATATTGTTTAGAATAAATGGAGGTAACTACCAGAAGAAACTGCTAAGAAGAAACTACTAAGAAGAAACTGCCACATTGCATGTGGCAAGCAGGATTTAGGAGTGGGTAAGGGGTAGACAATGTTTTTCAATATAAGTCTTAATACACTGTTTGACATGAACTGTGTGCATTTATTACTTTGATAATATTAAACATTTATTTAAAAAGAAAGATTTTTAGGGGTGCCTGGGTGGCTCAGTGGGTGAAGCATCTGACTTGGTTTCTCGGCGCATGGGGCTCTATGCTGACAGCTCAGAGCCTGGAGCCTGCTTTAGATTCTGTGTCTCTCTGTATCTTCCCTGCTCACACTCTCTCTCTGTCTCTGTCTCTCAAAAGTAAATAAACAGAAATTTAAAAAGAAAGATGTTTAGTCCAGAAAGGAGGAGTGTTTTCAGAAACTGATTTTTTTTTTTTTTTTTTTTTTTTTGAGCCCCTCTGAGGACTGGGATTAGTTCTGGCTCAGAGGGGGAGCCATGCTGTAACTCGGTAGCATTTCTGATCCTGTAGAGAAGGACTGATTCTCCCATCCTACAGCTCTTTACGGTTTATTTTCTCATTCTAAATAGTAAATCATCTTCAAGCCTTCCTTTTCATTCTTTTCCTTGGAGGGAGTCCTTCAAAGTGAGTAAACTTCAGGCCTCACAAAACCTGGGTTAGACGCTTGGGTTTGTTGTCCTGAAGGAGTTAGGATTCACTCTTAATGTTTATTTGGTCCTTTGAATTCTTTTTCCAGGGGGAGGCTGAAGACAGTTTTTTTTTCAGTAGTTTTTACAATCCGGAAAACGGTATTGGAACCTGCTCCTCCTCTGGCTATTACCGGGAACTCAGACTGTAAGCCTTTGGGGGGCAGGAAGAGAGCTGGACTTTTGCGTGCCTTCCGCAGTCCAGGTACAAAGTTAGTACAGGTTCAGTACTTATCTGTTCAAAACACAGATGGACTCAAGCGCCATTCGGAGAGTTTGGAGAATTTATGCGCGGAAGAAGGTTGCGGCGAAGAAGCAGGCGAAGCGGGCTGAGCACAGCTGCTTTCCCGAAACCCTAGGGCACCCTTCACTTTTGCTCAGGAGACGCCTTTCTGCAGCGCAGTTTGAGTATGTCAGGGTCTGCTAATCTCAGCTGTCCTTACTCATAGATTCCTACTATCTACACTTAGTCGGTTCGTAGTAGGAGATGTGCAACATTTTGTTTCAAGAATCTTTCTGTGCATGCTTTCTGTGGGGGGACTTAACATTCAGTCTGTTTGGGGGGGTTTACTTAAAATGGGGCACACCGATAAGTCCGGCTTTGACAATGACTAATTCACACACCGCGTGAGGACTGTGAGACCACTGCTGGGTGGTCGCCAACAACCGGCCGTCTACCGTTCCATGCGACCCCTGCGCTCCCAGACCACCTGCTGCAACCTCGAGGCGCAGCCCGGACGCTCCGCGACCTCTCCGACATGGCGCCCGCGGGGCGTCTGCAGGCGGCGGCCCAGGAGCCAGACGCGACAGACCTTCCCAAGATGGCGGCGGCGGCAGCGGCGGCGCGTAGGGGGCGGGGTTCCGCCGCCGGGGGCGGGGCAGGCCAGCCAAGGGGTCGGGCTTGCGGGCGGGCCCCACCGAGGTGGGCAGCCCCAGCGCGCCTGCGCGGAGCGGCCCTGCGCGCAGTGAGGCAGTGGCGGGGGAAGGCACCGGCGGGGCCGACAGGAGGCTTGAAGGAGGGAAGCGGGCGAGCGGAGTCCCAGCGCGCGCCGCGGCCGCCCGGGCGCCCTCCCCTTCCGGGCGTGAGGCGCTGTGTGGAGCCGAGCGGACCCGCCGCCCCAGCCCGGCCCTGCCCCGGCTCCAGCGCTCCCGTCGCGGGGGCCCGCGTTCCTCAGCACACCCGGCTCCAGCTCCAGGCGCCCCCAAGAGCCTGCCCCCGGCCCTCCGAAAGCCCCGGCGCCGGCCCGGGCCCTCGGCGGGAGGATGACGGAGCTGCAGTCGGCGCTGCTACT